GGATGAAACTGTGGCTAAAAGAGCGAATTACTTTGAACCATCTCAATATTTTAAGGATTCTTGATTATGAAGTCTTTCGAAATTTTCTAAGAATGGAAACAAGACACTTAATGAATTACTTGAAATTGTGCGCCATTGCAACGTGCGGTAACGTGCGCCCGCAACCATGGTTAAGGGGAAATATAACCTCAAATGGCTTAGCAAGATCCTCCGTTATGCCGAAAATATTGCAGCATTAATTTTGAAATAAATATATGGTAAAGTTGAGGATTCATGTTAAGGATTATGTTAGACGAAAACACGATTCCGTAAAATTTTCTCGATAGAAAAAAATTCAAAGTTACCTCCAAAATAAACAATAAATCCGCTGTTATTCATAAAATACTTTAAATAAGATCATGAAACTTTGCATACTAACTGAACTAACTATAAAGCAGTGCTTAGGTTATTTACTTTTTTTAAAATACCATTATTTTCACTGTGAAAAAAATTATTTAAACTATCGGCCTCTTGAAGCGTGATTCCTGCCGCCCGGTCAGTTTCGCTTCGGCTTTTGAAGGGGGAGGTTGTGTCGCTTACGATCAGAATACACAATACGCAACAGGACGACGTAAAATTAAAATGGGTAATAAAAATAAGAAGCGATTGGCTTGTCTTAAGAAACAGGCATAAATATGATAAACCTAATGAAATAAGTGTCTAACGACCTATCTACTTACAGTATTAGTGATTACAAACATGTCGGTACATGATATATTGGGGGCGAAATTAGAATTTGAGCTAATTTACTATATCCCCTTAATATACCTCGCGACGAGTGCCAAGAGAGCACTGAGGCGCTCTCGTCGGCCGACAGCTTTCCACACGATCGGTGTCAACCACGGACCCGACGTGTCGTGAGGGATGCGCTCGCGATCAAGGCCGTCGGACTGAACCAAAATACACATCCACCTTGCGATGGTTACGGAAAATTTTGATCCGATTTAAATGAGCCAATCAGAGCACAGCAAACGATAAGATAAACGATCGTATTGGCTGAAAGCAGCCGCGACGTTGCCGTTTCGTATCTTTGGCGGTACAAGCTACAGACTTAATGCGTGTTCCATACAATAATGCATTCTGGGTGCTGTTGGGTCGGCCTCATTTTTGTAATGCGCCGGGTATGTTTGCGGATGTGCGTGTGGATTGTTTCTACACCACTATGCGTAAACGATGCACATCCCTGGTGCGCAGGGTGCGGGCCAGTTCCAATGGTATCCTGAGGGCATTTTCTGACAGGTTACCGTACAGTACCTGAACCATTGTCATATGGTGCACGTGCTGACTAATCGGGCCTGTCTTGGATATAGTTTTAAAATTAAGTAAATAGTTTTAAGTTTTACTAAAATTAGTTTTAAGATTTGTATTATTACTAACATCTATGATCCTTGTGGTCGAAATAAACGACTTTTTTTAATGAATAACTCGACAACGCCCCTTCCTGTAGTGGAAGTGGCGGCAACGGCGACATAAGGTATTCGTGTGTGTATGTGTGTGAGCGCGCGCGCTTGCGTTAGTGTGTGTGTGTGTGTGTGTGTGTGCGCGAGTGTGAGCGTGTGCTTACGCACGTGGGTGTGTGAGTTTGTGTGTACGCGTGCGTGTGGGTGTATGTGCGTTCAGGTGTGTTCATGTGAACGCATGTGCGTGCGCGTGTGTGTGAGTGTATGTGTGCGTGTGTGCACTGTTGTGTTTTTTTGAGTACGTGTGTGTGCGGCAGTGTGTGTGTGTGTGTGTGTGTGTGTGATTGTGCGGTTGTCTGCTTGTGTTTGCGCGTGCGCGCGCGTGTGTGTGTGTGTGTGTGTATGCATGTGTGTATGTGTTTGTGTGCGTGTGCGCATGTGTGCGCGTGTGCATGTGTGAGTGTGTGCACTGTTGTGTTTGTGTGTGTGCGTGTGTGTATGAGTTTGTGCGTGTGCGCATGTTTGCGCGCGCTTGCGTGTTTGTGTGTGTGTTTACCATAAACCAGTTAACATGTTGTCTACATCTTCATAATCAAGATTTTTAAAGACGCGTTATAAAATTGATAGGTATAGAATCGAACTATTACATGAGATATTATTATGAGACCTTACCTCCGGTCTTGATGGAGTCTTCAGACTTGCTGAAGTGACCTGAAGGTGTACTTCGGTAACTAATACTGTTACACCTGAACTAGTTGAACTAGGTATGCCAAGTTTGGGTTTGTTTTGTTAATTATGATGAAACTGTCACAAAACAAAAGTTGACTCACTTCTGACCCCACTCTCCCCGTTTCCACTATCTCCGACTTCACCACAAATTCCTCTCCTCTGCCTCCACCACGTCTCCATTCTCCGTCTCCGTTTTCTGCGCATACACACACATACACATACACACACAAACATGCACTCAAACGAACACACACGCACGCACACCACCCGCACGCACGCACACGCACGCGCATACACACACACACGAACACAACTACACATACACGCGCGCACACATACGAACACAGATATACACCCACATGCATGCACACGCACGCAACACTCTCACTCACACACACACACACACACACACACACACACACACACACACACACACGCACACACACGCACGCGCGCGCACGCACATGCGTTCAACGAACACACATGAACGCACATACACCCACACGCACGCGCACACACAAACTCGCACACACACGCATAAAAACACGCACACACGCAAACACACGCGCACGCACTAAATGGCACCCCCACCCTTACACACACACATACTCGAGTGATAAATTGATTTGTAATAAAGTACTATCTATCCTCTTTTAATTGATCCGTGACAAATGTACAAAATAACACAAATTCACTCACACGATAACAAAAACTCGAACAAACGTCTTTTCACAATAAAACCTGCCAAAGTTTGATTCACAAAATCAGCAGATAACGCATTTTCTTACCTTATTACTATAAGGAAGTAGCCTACTGGGTTCTCTGTCACACACAGAACGCGACGTTTCCGCTTCGTGTTCGAGTACCTATTCGTCAATTATGGCTCCGGATCCACTTAGTCTAAGTAAATGTCGCATATAAATTATTTATACTCTGGATCTAAAAAACCATATTCAGTATGATTTTTTCGACCGTTGATAGATCAACATATGTTGGTCAAATCGCTGACGAGTATATTGAAAACCTGTTAGTGCAGATCCACCGACGTCACACGCGCATCAAGGATGGATCAAAGTATATCAGTTTGTGCGACGAGGAGCTGAGCAAACACGTCAAATAGGTGGATCAACAATTGTTCTAACTTCTGACTAACACTGGATCAACATTTACCGTGAAAGGATGATTATATATATATATATATATCAATGTGGCAACACTACACCGACGAGAGCGCCTCACCCTCAGTGCGCGCCATAGAGTAGAGTAATATATACAGAAAGTGTCGTAGACTAGCAGTCGTCGCAGGTGGATGTTTAACGGCACTATGGATACCATAGATAAATAAATATGTAGCAAGATTAGCTTGCTATTATTTTTTATACATATTTATTTATATATGGCAAGATGGCTACGAAGCACAGAGTACCTTTGTATAAACTGAAAATACGAAGCAAAGAACGTGAGGTCCTGACCGAATTCTTATCACTGTACCATAGATTACTAACTATATACTAGAGACACTGTACTGTGATTTACCATGTCTGTGTCTGTGATATTGGATCGGAGTTATATGACAGGAATAAAAAAATGCAAGCATGGGAGCTTTTGAAGGATAATATTACTTTCCTCTATGGATAAGCTTCAAGAAATTGAACCCGAGGCGAACTTCGCTGCAACGAAGAAAAAAATTGAGCATATTATGCGATCGGCTTTCAAGAGAGAGCACAAAAAGGTGATTTTTTATAATACCTACTTTTGTTTTAATAAAGTTTTTTCTTTCATTCCTTTTCTTTCTTTTCCTTCATTTGTTTCAAATAAAGAAGTTTATCCCGATGACATTATAGCAATTTTTTGCTAGTTAATGTCATTCGTTGCCAATTATTCTATAGGTATTTTACTTAATTTCACAGACAAATATGGCATTAGTTTTTACTTACATTTTTAATGTAGATTATGATTTTAGTAGATAGACTACTAACATAATCTTTAAACGAAATATAAACAATTTTCTATTCATCATTAACTGTAATTAAATGATTTATAAGTCCTTACAGTAAAAAACAAAAGGGCTGCATGATAACTAAGCCTATCCTTGTCTTGTTATTTATTTAGGTTAAAGAATCAAAATGAACGGGAGCAGGAGCCAATGATGTCCATGTTCCTAACCTGTGGTACTATAATTTGCTGCTGCCTATTTTTGACAAGATGAACAATCAAGATGCGGGGTGGACACGCTGTCCCGTGATGAAGTGAGTACATAATTTTAATATTTTGAAAAATAGCCTAAACAAATTTTTAAGGCAAATTTTACTTTGACATAATTTGCTCCTAAAACAGATAAAGGCGCTATATTTTCTTTAATAAAAAGAAGACAAAAGTTAGATTTCGTATAGCGTTTAATTACAAAATCATAAAACCAAATTACAAAACTATCTCACGAAATTACAAACTTCTAATATTCTTATAGTTTTCGTATAATTTCGGTTGTCCACTAGATAGGTGATTGATGATTTTTTAGTAAATAGACCAGAAGTCAATGAATATTTTATTTTAAAATAAAATTGGGTTACATAAATTAAAAAAGTAGGTACCTACTTGATGGTTGGGTGCTATAAATTATAAATTGGTCTTGACCAAGATTTTTTTTAAAGCAAAAAAAAAAAGTAAAATTTAAATGTTTCTGGTTAAGCATAAGTAAAGTTTAAATGTTTCCGGTGATGTATAAGGAGGGAGATCCCCCTTTAAGGGTGTGTTCCCCCCCCCCCTATTCTCCCTGCCCCCCACCCCCTTATAATGCCCCAAATTACTAAATACAAACTATCTTAAACAATTTTATTCTCTTCTTTCCATAACTATTTCAACCATTTTGTCTTGAAAGCATACTTTGCCAGTTGTATTAAAATAATCCATTAAGGTTTTTCTCACTTCCTGCCCCTCGTAAGTATTCCTTTCACCAGTTCGATGGAGAGGGGTTAGGGTACCTTGTTGTCGCCATTCTCCAGGTCTAAATATTTGATGTTGTAAGTCTTCATAGTCAGCACTTGAAGGGGTCCAATAAATTTTCGACTTTTGAACTTGACTTTTTTCGAAAGTTGTGTAACGCACAACTGGCTAGAACAATTGCATCCAGGTTTTCAATTTTAATGCTAATAGGTTGCCTAAATACTACTCTGAAACGTGAAGCAAGAATGCCGAAAGCATTTTCAACAACTCCTAGCTCGGCATAGACGATAATTGAATATTCTTTTCTCCTCAGTGATGTTCTTATCGGGGAATGGTTTCATTATATTTGTTTCAAGTGCAAATGCACTATCTCCTAAAAAAACATACGGTACTGTTAAGTTTATACCTAGCAGTGTAAATGATTCAGGCAACTTAAGGTCATCGTTGATAATTTTTTCATAGAACCTGGTGGCTTTGAGTATTCCTCCATCTGACATACTTCCATTTGAACCCGTATGAACATAAATGAATTCGTAGTTTGCATTGACAATTGCAAACAACACCACACTAAATGTACCCTTATAGTTGTAGAACAATGATCCCGTTCCGGATGGTTTTTCAATTAACATATGCTTGCCATCCATGCAACCTACACAGTTGTGAAATTATCATTGTTCTTGAAAATAAATAAATAAATAAAATAAAAATCATTTATTTCGACCTTAAAGATCATATTTGTTAGTAACATATATAAGAAAAACACTAGTCTAAATGTTAGTAAACTTAAAACTACCTTAATCTATATCTTATATCTAAGACAGCCCTGATTTGTCAGCACGTGCACCATACGGCAGTGGTTCAGGTACTGACAATCCAGCCTGTCAGCAAATGCCCTCAGGACGCCACTGGGACTATCCCTAACCCTGCGTACCAGGGATGTGCACCGCTTGCGCATGATCGAGTGAAAACAATCAACATGCGCATCAGCGAACATACCCGACGCACTGCAGAATCGAGGCAGTCCCATCAGCATCCTAAAAGCATTATTGTACTGAACGCGCAGAGCATTGTACTGTTTCTGCGTAAAATCGATCCACAGGCTGCTTGTGTAAAATGAAGAACAGTAAGCTCTAAATAGCGTTACTTTAACCGGGGTGGAACAACGAACAAACCTGCGAGCTATCATGTTCGCCCTAACCGACAATGCTCTGCGCTCTCTCTCGATATCAGCATCGTCTTTCAAGTCAAAGGTTACCACATGACCTAGATATTTAAATTGCGACACCCTTTTTAACGGTGTACCATATAATTTAATGGGTGGTACAATTGATGGTAATGCTTTTCCCTTGGCCCGAAAGACCATACATTCGCTTTTTTTCACATTATAAATTAAACCGTGACTGTGAGCATAGTTTTCACATATGCCCAACAGTTTCGCTAAGCCACAAACAGAAGCACTCAGCAACACCATGTCGTCAGCGTAACTGATGTTGCTAAGACATACTCCGTCAATGTGACAACCGACATGTGTGCCACTGAGCTCCTCTATGAGGGCATTGACATATAGGTTGAAGAGCTTAGGGGAGGTTAGGCCTCCCTGTCTAACTCCGCACTCCAACCTATATGGCTGCGAATAAGATTCGGACCATCGCACAACATTGACCTGGTTACGGTACCAATATTTGAAGATTCTGGTTGCTTCTTCAGGCAGTCCAGTATTTTTCAATTTCTGCCATAGGATATCGTAATTTACCAGGTCAAAAGCCTTACTAAGGTCGAGAAAACAGGCATATACAGGTGTACGCCTAACCGAATAGTACTTAACAGTCTGCTTCAGACATAATATGGCCGACTCAGTTGACAAACGTTGCCTGAAACCATACTGATTATCATGTAAGGTTATATATTTATCAAGGTGGACGCTAAGCAAACTGTCAAGAACCTTCGCAACAACCGTGGCTAGTGAGATAGGCCTGTAATTGGATTTATCAGACACATCCCCCCGTTCTGTTCTTCACAATTGGCACCACCACAGTTTTCATCAGCGCTGAAGGCAAGTACGAGTGCGCCATGCACAAGTTATAAAACATGGCAAGCACTCCGGGCAGATGAGGACCCGCATACCTTAGGTGTTCAATACTCAGACCGTCATGGCCAGGAGACTTGCCACGGGACATAGAGGCTATAGCATTATTGACATCCATTGCTGTAAATCGGATTCCAATCTCCTGACCACCCGTACATTCATCTCTTCCAAGCTGTGATGGTCGCAACGGTGACGTCACCGTAAAATGGTCCCTGAACATGTCCGCTATGAGACTATGGTCATTAATACCCTCAACGCTCACTGGTAAGCCAGGTCTACCATTCAATTTATTGGTAGATTTCCAAAAGTTCTTAAAGTCATTGTTCGAATGCTGCGTAGCCGCAATGTCCATTTTAATTTGCTCGCTGTGGTTTTGACACCAGCGTAAGCGTGACTTAAATACATTGCGACTACGCCGCATTTCCTCATAAACTTCTCCACTATCCGGTTTACCCCACCAAACCCACATTAAAAATTTAGATCTGGCCTCCCCGTGAGCATCGCGCACATATCTGTTCCACCCAACCACCGGCCGCCTCCCGCCACGCAATCTTACAGTGTTGGATTCCGTTGCGGCCACCGTCAAAATATCTATAATTTCGCCATATAATTTATCGATAAGTAAATTATGATCGGTAGACTCGCAAGTAAAATCACTACAAGAAAGAAACTCTTCGGGGAAATCGATTGATCTCAACTTTTCATTACATAATTTCGTATATAATAAAATATCTTCCGGTTTTCTATTTCCCCATAGAATCTCGTTTACAACTTTATGTGTACTCGTATACTTCGGTTTAACAATATCTAAATTACATTTAATTATTAAAGGGTAATGGTCAGACCACAACACATCGTACTTTACATGAACATTCAAAATAGACGATGCCGCAGATTTCGTGGTTATACAGTGATCTAGCCACCTTTTCGACCCGTGGGCTTCACTAACAAATGTATATGTGTCCGCGCTCACTCCTAAAAACTGTACATCTGTACATGACCAGTTTTGTTCGTCACAGAAACACGTCAACTCTGCATAAAAGCGTTCGTTTGGATGCGCATTAAAGTCGCCGAGTATATAGACACATTCTATATTACTATTATCAATAATAGCACTCACCGAGCTGAGGCAGTCCGTAAACTCCGTGAGATTTACCACTGTATCCGTTGGCATATATACGCTAAACACTAGGATGGACCTATCACCCAGCACTATTTTTATCGCACATATACGCGGATTATCACAGTTTATTACTGACACATTTTGAAAGACACTTTTATTCCACAATAACGCTACACCTCCGTAAGGTCGACCGCAGACCATCCCCGCCGCCGTGTCTATCGCAGAGGTGCCCGTACTGCCGAAACGGTCATCAATCTCGCTAAGAAACTGAACATCGTGTGGAAATAACCACGTTTCTTGAAGCGCAATAACATCCGATGACTGACACAACTGCCTCACATGCTCAGCTGATCGTTTTATGCTTTTACAATTGAAACTGACAAAAGTACACGGGAGGATTTTATCCATTACCATTTGGGGTCGGGCCGTTCACGGTATTTACTGTACCGTTCGTTCCAGAGCTATGGTTTCGCTTGAAGTTGACGAAGCGCCTAAAAATCACACCTTGGGGCCAAAGCGTTTTATCTAAGAAAATATCTATTTTCCGCTCTGATACAAAAAATTTGTAAGCGTTGTAGTCCTTGTTTTCTTTACTAAAGGAAATCTTTTCGAGTGTTATCTTTTCTCTCGTTTTATTGTAAACGTATTGCACAATATCGTTTTCCGTCGTGTCCCGATGAACCATCGTTATAAACATGGGCACTTTACGATCTGCCGCTTTAAAATTACTTTCTTCGTTGGACACACCCGCGGCTCCCGTATAACGGTATCTCCTTTGTTTCTGGCCTCGTCTCACCACACTCCACTTCCCCTCCGCGCTCGCTACCTCGGCGAAAGACCGCGCAATTGCACCCGCTGCATGTTTCGACGCTGCCCCCGAGCTGGCTGGCGGGCTGGCTCGTGGCTCGGTCGGCGCGGGCGTCGGCGATGATGCAATACTAGGCCGGCCCGCACCCGCTACCGCACCGATTACTTGTTCCGTGACGCGCGCTCCTTCAACAGCTGAGACACCGCTGCCGACCGTTCCTTGAGATTTATAATTACCCTCCATAAAATTTATACATCTGTAATTTAGATTATAATCTTTCGGAGATGACGGTTCCTCGTTAAGATGTTGACTGTGATTCGTAATAATCGTATCATCGAATTGCGACAGTCCAATCGGACCACTGTCTCGATATGCTCCTCTTCGCATGTTCACCTTTACCGCCGAAAAAGGCGGCGACGTATGTTTAAAATGTTGGCACTCCCTTTTAACCTCTTCCAGCTGGTCGACAGTTACGTATGAAGACTTGATATTTTTAATGTCAGCCTGCACAACAGCCAGATCCTTCAGTAGTTTAGATACGTCCAGGTGATCAAATGTAATCGGAGGCAATTTATCTAAATCTCTCGCCACGAAAATTGGCAAAACGTCAGGGTCGGTGACCTTAAAAAGGCCGATTATATCGTTCAAAGAGCGATTTTCTTTGCCTTTACCCTTCCTCGTAGTTTTGCGCTGATCCGCCGGTAGGGAATTCACGAGCAAGTTTTTTGCATCCTCAATTTGTTCCGATGAGAACGTAGAAGCACATATTTTAACAATGCTGTCCTCATCTGCTACAGACAGCTTGTTTTGCACGTATGCTAATAACTCGCTAATAACTATATTACAACTATTACATTTTAACGTCATTTTCGAAACTTGTAACGCCGCCGCCGTACGTAACGGTTTCACTGCAATCACATATAGATGAAAAGATTTCGCAGCCATATCCCATTCATATTTTAATGAGTGTAACTAAAACAAATATTTTTTTTCAGGAATCCAGATCATCAGAACATGAGAAGGGCAGAAAATAGTTTAATATCTTGGAGATTAAAAAAAAAGAAATTAATAGATACTGCACAAGAATTATTGCAAAGCGATAATAGAAAAGAAAATCAGAAGGAAATAAACTCATTTGGCTTGTACATAGGAGAACAACTAGATCAGGTTGAAACATTTCAACGCCAAGTGGCTGCGAAACTAATTTCTGATGTCCTTTTTCTTGCAAAAACAGGGAACCTTAATTTTGATTCAAGAATCGAAACAAAACGATCTCGAAATTTTCCTATTTTTCAGATGTCATCATCACCACAATATACTCGAATATCACCATCCCCAAATTAAATTCAGTCATCATCATCTCCGTATCACATTCAGACATTAACAACACCACAACAAAGCCACCCACCACCATCCCCAAACTACATTCAGTCATCATCATCTCCATATCACATTCAGTCATTAACATCACCACAACAAAGCCACCCATCACCATCTCCATATTACATCCAGCCATCACCATCACCATATCCCACCCAACCATCACCACATTCCAACCAACCATCACCATAACCACATCCCACCAAACCAACACCATCACCATATCCCACCAAACCAACACCATCCCCACATCCCACTCAACCATCATCATAACCACATCCCACCAAACCAACACCATCACCATATCCCACGAAACCAACACCATCACTACATCCCACCCAACCACAGAACACATTTACCCTGACGGGAAGAACGAAAACTTCATACAAAAAAAATGCCAACAACTTGCGACACTAGCGCGCCAGTTTTTGACCCGTGAACTAATTTTCGCGCCAGATTTCAAATCCGATGATAAACTCATGATTTTATTTCATTTTATTTTTATGCCATGTATCATGAAAACAAAGCGAAATTCTGGTATTTAATTTGATAATTACCTGAATTTTGGTTTATTTTCATGATGCATACATATTTATGGAAAGGTATTAAATAAAACTAAGTTGTAAGCGTGTTTTAAAATATTTATTTTTCTTTTCATTGCTTTTTTCGAAGCTTCATCGGTGAACTGCCTATTTTTTTAAATATAGTGTCGTTTTATACATATACATATAGTGGAAATAATTATATGCATTTTATTTTTATCATAGTGCTCAGAACAACCAAGCAACCATTCGAAATTTAATTTTCTTCTTAAAATTTCTATAAGTTCATTTTTTATATTTATTTTACACCCATGCTCATCCAAAAATTTATTGACAATTGTTGCAGCAATCTCCACTGTCTCCGTAAAAAATTTATTAACATAATGTAGACTGTTGCGCATACAACTGTATTCTTTAAAGCTTGTGAATAAATGACTTACCTGTGTGTTCTGGTCTGCAAGCATTGTGATTTTGCACTGATGGCAAATGGGTACTAATTTTTTTATCATGAAGCCACATACATATGCGCAAGCTTGCAGTTCTCCAGAACACTGAGGTATTACTGTATTAGATGCTTCTACACCTTCTGTTAAATCAAATGTATTAACAGCTACATTTGTTTCTTTATTTTGGTCAACTTGACTTAAAAAAGATTTTAAATCATTTAATATGACATTATCGTCTTCTTTGCAATTTTTATTTTTACTGCTATGCAATAAATTGTTGATCATGGAGGTTTTGAGAGCTGCAACAAATTGTAGGGTGTTTGGGTTCGGGTTGCATCCACAATTGCTGCGGATGCAACCAAAACAGTTTTCTAATGGATCTTGATTGAGCCTGCGCGTTGATAAACTTTTTATACCATATTGCCTTTCTAAATTAAAAAATAGACGCTCAACTGCATTTATAGTTCTAATAAAACCTTCCTGCGAAGGCGGCTTGCATCTGGCCCCAATAAATTGTAATTCTTGGAACAGGATTTTCATTTCCTTAAAAAAATTTAAATGTGGACTTCTGCGGGTAAAATTTGTAAGGAATTTTTTTCCTCTTTTTCTGATCAGGCGTATCGCCATTTAAGGTGTCGAACAGCTGGTCTATTTTTTCTATCAGCATGGCTGTCGTCGTTGCTTCTTGCGGCAGTTCATCTGTAAAGTAAACACTCATTTTTTTTAATTTATAGTGAAAGGTTCGGGAAAATTAAATGAAATTGAAGACAATGGGAAATTCACGCGTTCGCCGCGTCGCGTCTTGCGCCCTCGTTCGCTCTTGGAAGCGTGTCGGGGAGGGAGGCACGAGACAAGACGAGACGAGCGTGTACAGCAGGCATAAAAATTACACCTAATAAGTAATCAAAATTACACTAAATAAAGTAATCTTTATAAAAATATTCAATTATAAAAGAAAGCTGTCAACGCGAAGTAGCTTAATTTTATCTTATTAGAATGATTATTTGAATAAGCTCTAATAATAGTTGATCATATTCAGAAACTATTATATTATATTTCGAGACATCGATTATTTTTGAAGATTATTAAAAGTTATTATTAAAATAATTAAGAAAACTAAGTTGTACAACCAGTGCGTGTTGCCAGTGATGACATATGGAACTGAGACGTGGTCCTTCACTGCTGGCCCTATGAGGAAGATCAAAGTCGCTCAGCGAGCTATGGAGAGGGCTGCTCTGGGTTTCTCTGCGTAATAAACTTAGAAATGAGGATATCCGCAGTAGAACCAGAGTGACCGACATAGCCCAACGGATTAGTAAGCTGAAGTGGAAATAGGTGGCCATATAGCTCGAAGAATCGACAACCGTTGGGGAAAAAAGGTTCTCGAGTGGCAGCCTCATACCGGTAGACGAAGTGTAGGGCGACCCTCCACTAGATGGAGTGACGACCTGGTAAGACATGAAGGAAGTCGATGGATGCAGGTGGCTCAGGACGGTGCTTTGTGGCATACCTTGGGGGAGGCCTATGTTCAGCAGTGGACTTGTAAAGGGCTGTAATGATGATGATGATGATGATATAAAAGTTATCCAATAAAACAACTTACTGTTCGCAATCTTTGCAAGCATTCCTGCAGCAACTGAATGGCTGAATACTTGGCAAGCTAAGCTGACTTTCATCTTTTGTTTAAAATTGGGTTCAATATGCTGCTTGGTTAAAGCAGGTGCAAAAACAAAATTTGGATTTTCATTGTCTTTTTCAAAGAATGATTTAATGTGGCTCCACTTGGCTACACCTGTAATAATAAACATGTAAAATATATTATAAATAATAACAGAAGTATTAATAAAATACATTTATTGAGTCTGTGTTAGTTTATATTAATCTGATGATCATCCGCGCGGCGGGTTGCATAAGACAAGATAAATCTTATGAAGCTTGAATTGCCACCTTTGACCTTAGTCATGTACTCATGTCATACCTACTTATTATCTATTATTTACAACATTTAAATTACCTGGTATAGATTTTCCATCAATTTGCAATACTTGAGGGCATTTAATGTCTTACTTCAGTAAATTATTTCTGAAGCATTTAATTAGGTGAGGTGGGTCTATAATTGTGACGATTTCATGGCCTTTAAACTCAAAATATGGTTGAGCCACTGAGGAACCAAGGGAGTTTAGTGCTTTGATGTTCACACCAAAGTTGTCCGATACAGTAGCTGTGACATTCAACCCAGCTTGGAAGCTTGCATCAAGTACCTGTAAATACAAATATATAATTATATAATATATTGAGTATGTAATGGCTTTTTTTCTTCAGTCAACTGTATTGCATACTTACTTCTTTTATAAGAACAGATAATCTATCAGCCGTAACACAGTCACCAGAAAAGTAGAAAGCTAAAGGCTGCTTCCACTTTTTTCGGATTCCAATAGCCATAAAAAGCAATGCATGTGTGGCTGGCTCCATAGTTCTGCCTTGATTTCCATGATCTTGATAACCATCAATTACATCTTGTTTACTATTATATTGCAAATGTTTTCGTATTGACATTTCGTCAAATGCCAAAATGCACAGATTTTCTTCTGGTTCTCGATTTTTAGTTATATCTTTAATTGTTTTGAATATTTGGCTATTTATACCGCATTTCATCGGAATTCTATTCAGCAATGCTTTTAATGTACCTTCACTTGGTAGACAAAAAAGTCGCCTCAGCAGTCTATAGCAGCCAGTAGACCTTTTATAGATGCTTAAAGCCATAACTTTGTCATCTATACTCCACCTCCGACCAGTTAGTTTTCTGGGAGTATTTTGCAGTTGACTTTGCAACAATAAAGCAAATGGCCCTGATATATTTTTGTCCATGAGACTTTGGACATTACTATTTGTAGTTAATGTTTTGAAGAGGGCACGTGGTTGTTTCTTAATTTTTTTTCTAAGTCTCCTTATTTCGCTCAAATTTCTCCTACATCTTTTATACAGTTTAAGTTTCTTAGGGGTCAATTCCAATGACTTGCTTAAATCTAGCTCCTTCAAAATCCCTTTAGTCCTTGGCATCTGGAAATAAGTTAAATATTGTGATCATATAGATCCTCATTTCTTAAACAATACATAAACAGACTGTAGGTTCGAAACCTATACATATGAGGGCAACAATGAAAGTTTTTAGCACTGGCCACTTGCAAATGATATAATAAAAAATAAGTTCAAGTTTTGAAAGTGGAACTCTTTACCAATATTATTGTGTATGTATTTTATTAATTTGTCACTTGGTTACGATTTGGCGGCAAATTGAAAATTGTCTGTGTCACGACAACATGAACTCAACGCTAGAAAATTTTCGTACAATGGGTGCGTTTGGCAGAAAAAAGCGCTAGCAAACGCTTACTAGCGCTAAAATAGTTTCCGGCCAGGACACGATTGCTACTTCAGTAGCGCTGACACAATCCGCCATTTTGCTTATTTAATTTGTTTGTTTTGAAGTAGAGTTTATAAGTTGTTTTTTTGCAATATTAGTTTTAAGTAATATAATGACATGAATAGACATATACATATTATTAAAAATTCATGATTGGTAAGTTTTTAATATGAATACTTCACAAACATATATTTAAATTAGGTTAGGTTCCCCGGTTAAAACTAACATCGTGTCCTAGAGGAAAACAGCTACTTACGATTTGACAGCGCTTTTTTATAATATATAATAAAAATTAAGTTATATTAATATAACTTCCTAGTTTGTTCAGTTTTTGATTTTCTAAGAACTTTCAGTGTCACTCTTGTAGGTAGTTAATAAACAATGAAGAAAACTCTTGATACCTGAGCAAGTGCCAAAGTCAAAAGCTTGTTTATTATACTTATTTAATTATGAGATATTGGTCACTGTGATTAAGATTGTTCATGAAAATTAGTATAAGTACTACAAACCTTCAAGCTATCAGTAGTTGGTTCACATATGGTTGGCACTTGAACAGGTAAAGATGTAGTTGGGTTGGCTGTGGTTGGCACCTGAACAGGTAATGAAGGTTCCAACACTAGCATCTGAAAATTACAATGAGACGATTTTTGTGAACAAAGGTGATGATCAGTTTCAACATTACCTGAGTAAGAATCATTATGGTGATATTAATCTACATAATTAGCAAGCATTAGTTTGTTTCTTATTTATACGAGAAATTGGTCACTGTGCCCGAAATAGGGACTATGCATGAAAAAATATTCATAAGACCATACAGTTTATCTAAAAATATACAAAACATAATGCTAACAGGGCAATAGAATCAAAATTGATATAAAAACAAACAAGATACAACCATTTTAAATAATTATATCTATCCCTCTCGCGAAAATGCTGTTTTGCATGGCAGATGTATGGTCGGCACAGACATTGCCGTCATAGTCTTTATCGGACCCTAATTGGTATCTTTGTAGCTTTATAACATTGTCGCTGATGAAGGTACTTTAAAAATTATTTCATAATTGTTTACTAGAGCTAATAGTTAATTAATTTCGCAAATAAAAAATGCATTCATATTCCCTATTGCCCAGTAAAACATCATCACATTCTATACGACCAAAAATGTGAACAAAAGTTTCACAAGTTTTAATGTTGTACATATATAATGTTATACATGTGAGTGAAAATTATTATAAGTACTACAAACCTTCAAGCTATCAGTAGTTGGTTCACATATGGTTGGCACTTGAACAGGTAAAGATGTAGTTGGGTTGGCTGTGGTTGGCACCTGAACAGGTAATGAAGGTTCCAACACTAGCACCTAAAAATTACAATGAACAATTTAGAAAATTCATTCTATTTTCCACATATATGCACGATGGAGCATGATTACCGAGATGAGTTTTCACAAAAGGAATACGAATTTTTTTTGCGATGCGACAACGGGGATATTTATGCAAAACAGCAAACGAAATGCTGTCAAGGAGGTCAATGCACTTAACTTAATGGTGTACTATTTTATGTAGAAAATTCAAATCTAGAATATTTCGTCTATTTTGGAGAGACATCACCTTAAACCTATCCAGTCGCTGATAGTAAGGCTGCCTATGTGAGATACCACTGGCATAAAAGGCAAGATGTCGAGTAAAGGCATGCTGTATACTTTCAATGCGTTGGGAGTGCACACTAGAAGATGGATTCCATATGACACTAACGAATTCAAGGAGTCTTCTTACAAAAGCATTATATAAAAAAAATTGACACCCTTTATATTGCGCGTAATAAATTCTAAGAACTTCAGGGCTTTGTTAATAAACAATAATGTTTATATGAGATTTAAAGGTTAGCTTTCTGTCAATAGTTACTCCTAAGTCTTTAATCACCAGTACCTCTTGCAAAACTACATTACCAATTGAGTAACTAGAGACAAGCAGTTTTATTTTCCTGGTTTTTTATTTTATTTTGTAAACAAAGTGATGATCAGTTTCTACATTTAAATTATCAGGATGTTTCCAATGCCATATTATCCTCATTTTTGTGTTCAACTTGTTGAAAACTTCATGATTGAACTTCTAATAAAAAAGAGTAAGTAAGTAATACTTTTATGAAAACCATTATTTGAGATTGAGGGTTGTGTATTTATTTTGGTTTTTAACAATACTATGGTTGACGTTGAGTTAACTGTTTTTATTATTACTGATACAAGTTTGCTCTTGACCTGAATCATGCCTGATGAAAATTAATGAGGTCTATTTATTTACTTATTTAAATTTTATGTACAACAGTGGTACAAGGGCAGATTTCATGCATCAAGACATTCTTTACAAGTCAACCTTTTGGTTGTTTGGTTTCTCTAAAACAAAATGAAATTTAAAATAGAGTTTAGACAAGGCCTATTAATTTCTTTCTGTGAGTTTTAGCTTAAGTATTTGTTTGACTGTACTTATAAATTCCAACCACATATCAAGCTTAATGATTGATGGAGTTTTGAGTAATATAGTAATTAATGTTTACTTACTTGAGGTTTTTCAACTGAGATATTTGTATCTTGTTTACTTTCACTTGCAGTTGCACATTGTTCCTGGCGAATCTTTACCATTAAATCCTGTGTCCCAGTTGGGATGGCAAAATTGTGCAATCTTATCCTCGCACTGTTAAGTGAATGAGGAATCATCAAAGTGCTTACTGCATAACATTTTGTGTTGCGAGTGCAAGTCTCTTAGTGATTTCTCAGTTGACCACTCTCCAGTAGGGTAACAGTATTCAGCCCATACACATGCCCTGAAATTATTGATTTTTTTAAATCTAAGTGTAGTTTTGATCACAGTTTGGAAGGCCTTCTACAAGATAAGACCAATAACCTGGTAAGGGTCACGGGTAGCAGATGGATGCGAGACACACAGGTCTGGTCGGTGTTATGGTGACCCTTGGGGGAGGCATGTGCCCAGCAATGAAAAATTTATGTTATGAACATTATGTTTACTATGTTATGAACATTATGAATGTTAAAAACATTAAGTACTAGGTACTTAATAAGATAATGAGGGAAAAGTAACAAAAAATTAGAATAGCTTAGTTACTTACTTTAAAAATGTATGTCTACCAGGTAGAGGAAATCTGTGGAAACTCAAGTTTCCATCTTCTGTGGCAGTGATGTTACACTTTGCACACTTTCTTTTTCGTTCATAGCGCGTATGGCGTGACATATTAACAAATAATGCTCAGACACACGTACACAAAATAAAAAAAAGAAATGAGTCTATATCTCGTAAAATTGTCCAGGCAAAAAGAATTACAAACACCAAATAATAATATAAGGAAATGAGTCTCTATCTCTAAGCGTTCAGCGGGCACACAAAACAAAAACACAGTAGCACGAAATAATGAGTCTCTATCTCGTAAAAATCTTCAGGCACATGCTATAAAAGCAAAGAAATATACAATAGAAATAAAAATATTTCAAAGTACGTTTAGCGCTTTCAATAATCCGCCATATTGCAAAGCAAAGCATCAATAGTGATTTCTCTGTCTAGCTCTAGCGTATGGCGTTGTCTCTGTTTCGCTTATTTTGCCCGACGTTTGCATCGGCTCCATAGAGACTTGACCCCCCGTGCACCCAACCATCATCATCGTCACATCCTACGAAACCATCACCATCACCACATCCCACCCAAACATCACCATCACACCCTAACATACCATCACATACAAATAGAATAATATATGAAGGACCGGCTAGTGCAATAAATGAATTTGTAATTTTTGAAAAGGATAAATAAATGTCATTGATTAATACACTACCTTGATTTTTTTCTTCAAAGCCTTGTATATCGCCCAACAAGTTTCAGGTATAATTTTTGAAAGCAATTGAAATGATGTAACTGTACTAAATCTCAAATCTTTATAACTTCTTCCCGTAGCCAAAAAGCTTAATGTAGCTATTAATCGTTCTTCAGCAGACACGGCTTGACGCATAACTGTATTTTTTTTTTGTAATCATTGGACGCACCATCTCAAGTAATTCATTAAAAGTATCGCGATCCATTCTTAGAAAATTCCGAAAGTCTTCAGAATCAAGAATCCTTAAAATATTGAGATGGTTTAAAGTAATGCGCTCTTTCAGCCACAATTTCATCCATTTTCTTTTTTTTTCATCTTCACTCAAGCACAGAAACGTTATTTTGTTGACGATTTTTTGTTGTTTAGAAAAGCAAGGAGTCATTTTTAAAAGTAACTACCTTACGTCTTTACTCTTTAAATACCAGAGACAACTGACAAATTGAGTCAACCACCCGACCGTGTAGAACGAATACAAAAATCGGTTGATCCGACCAAGGTCACGACGGTTGATGGTTGGTCCCGACCGTGTAGAAGCGCTTTAAATTTCCTAGAACACGGCCGCAGGACAGAGTCGAACGCGAGTCAGTTACGTGACACTACTATTTTAAATCGACACTTTATTACGTTAGGCTTATCTAGTTTTACCAAAATGGGAATGAAATGTGATTTGTCGTTAAATATTTGTTTACACCTCCTCTATTTTTTTTCTAAATATTTTATACCGTTAGCTGTTTATCAGCTATTATCTGTTTGTTCGTACTTTTAAACTACTTGATAAATTTTATGCAATTTTAATATATTCTAACGATAAGTAATTGAAGGATAGTAGACTAAATTCGATCTGTAAGAAGCCGGGTAACAGAAAAATAACAAACAACAGAAAGTCAGTTACAGATCTTTAAAACTAATAAAAAATTATAAATATGTCGCCCATACATATATAATTTATTTATTTGCTGTTTGAATAATGTTGTATTCATTTTATTTATACATCTGTTTATTTAATAAAATGCTATTATTCTTGGTTTCTAAAAGATCCGAATATTAAAGATAAATGGATATACTTATCCTTAAAGTTTTATTACGTACTCTTTTCTCTAATTCTAAAAGCTAAAGCTAAGACTAAAGGCGTCTATTACTGAGACATTTTCAGTTAATTATTATAGTTATATCTTGGTGTGAGACTCCTGGACGATCAACGACGCTTAGAAAGTCATCGAAACGTGCGTTGCGCTGCACTAAGCCCAAGTGAGAATGAGCGCGCAATGTCATTCTCCGTTTTTCGCACACGTTAATTATTGGACGTTGGCGTAGCCACTCGGGCTATGCCTCCTGAGATTTTGCGTGTTTATAAAATATTCCTTAACGAAATAGTTTAATCCTTGTTGTATGAATTTTAGAGACATGTGTAGGCGTAATTGTGTATTTATTGTTTGTCTATGTGTGAGAGCTGTGAACCGGCAACACGCGTCCTGAAAGACAGTAGAAGGCATTTCTAGTGCCTTATTATTTAGATTTCTGTGGTTAACATGGACTTGTTTAAATACCAGTGTTTTATTATTTAGATTTCTGTGGTTTTTTGAATTAAAAGTATTTTAGCAAAAAAATTCATTTGTTGAGTGTTCTTCTGTAAAATTTTGTTAATTTACTTTTTTGATCAATAATTATATCTCTTACCGACTAAAATTATTGTTTTTAGGCTCATATTGTCTATAGGTGAAAACTTTTAAATGGCCTTCTGGTTATTTAATTATCTACAGTGTAATGTTGGCTATAAGTTTAAAAAAATAATCAAAATGCAGATGATTTATATGTGTAGTAGAATATCTTCCAGTCAGAAGTGATAAAGTATTAGCATATTGATTGTTAATTAAGGATTGATGTTTTAGTAACAACATTCACTTGCCATCAGGTTAACTGTGAAGTCGTACATCATCCTTATTTTTTGTATAGAGAATCCTATCTACAAGGGATACTTAGTCTCCCTTAGTATAGAGGGCGGAGGTTTGACTAGGTTGTTGAATAGCAATAAAATACAGGATATTTTCTCATAAGTTTAATGTATTAATAATACTCTGTAACATAATATATAAAAATTAAAGTATACAAAGGCGATACCGTATGTGGGTGTACGCGGCCTAAATGCAAATTGTGTGCAAATGATAATTTTCGAGCAAAATGCAAAATACTTAACAGGTAAGACACTTCACGGCAATCACAGATTTAAACATTTCGTGATAAAATAACATTTTTCTTTCAAATCCACTATCAAATTAGAAAAATACAAAAATTGTAAGTTTTTAAACAGTTTTTAACAACATTCGACATCCGAAAGGCTTTAAGTAAAAAGTCTATTATTTACTTTTATGCAAATTTTTATAATACATTTTTGATCCGTATATTTTATTACTGTATAGCAATAAATATGTAATATTAAAACTTATCAACTTCCTCTATAACATTATTTGCAGCAACAAGTGATTCTTAGATTGTCTACGTACGGTTTATCGGTTTTCCGCCACGTACTTTCAATTAAGATTTTTGACTTGGATGCTTGGTCTTTTAAGTCTTAATTTCATTTGGGATCTTAGTTTTATAGATTATCTATTATAGATAAATTGTCTTAAATACAGATAATGTAAAAAGGCAAATGTAATGGCAGTAAATAATTTCTTTGTAGTGATGTCACCCAATTATTATTTTTATTTTTATAAATAGTATACCTACAGATATTAAAACAAATATTTTAAGACATATTTATTTTATTATATTAATATTATTTTCCGCCAGCGGCAAATCCAGTGTTTTGGACGGCGTACACCCTATCACGCAGGTTTACTTGTGCTTGAGGATTGTGTTCTTGAGTTTGTCGACGTTCGCCCCGGAGAACTCCTCGAGCTTCTTAGAGCTCTTCACGAACACGAATGTGGGCATAGAGTTAATGTTGTACTCGGTCGCGATATCCTCGCACTCGTCTACGTCGACCTGGAAAGAAAAAAATAAGCTATGCACAAACTTATTTATTGTAACGAGACAAACATGTTACAAAATTTTAACCATTTATATCACCGTGGGACAGTATTGGAACATACCAAATTTCTCCATATAAAATCTAAAGCAAATTATTTTTTCGGTTAATATACAGTGTTCCCGCTCTGGAACATATCGCGCGTCAATGTTTAGTACTGTCCATACCCCACAGATGGCGCTTTTTCAACACAAACGAATTTGAATCAAACAATTTGACGATTCGAAAAATACGTTTGTTTAGTAAGTTTTGAAAATAGATGAAAATTATTTAAACTGTGAAATCTGTTTGTGGTGTGAATTTACTAGGTAAGTGTATGTTATTTGCTATTTATTGTAGATATTGAATGGTTGTATGTAATTTTTGAATATAATTGCCGTTATGTATTTGTGCCAGTTCTGGTACATTGTGTTACTAAGTACATTTAGTGTCATACATTGAGCACTTTATTATTATTGCGACAGGATGGTATCCAGAGGTCTAGGAAACGAAAAAATAGAGGAGTTCCTCTTTGATTATGCAGAAAGTGAAGAAGGATTCGATGGTGATGACGACAGCATTGCAGATCCTGATTTTGTTCCGGATTTGGAGGTGCCAATGGACACCGATGATTTTGAAGAGGTTGATGGAGTGAATATTGACACCATCATTGAAAATATTGAGAATTCAAGCAGTACTTCCCAACCGCCAACTCCTTCTGAAACCTTTCCTCATCCAGGACCATCATCTAGACCTGGATCATCAGGACGCAGTCAAGCCAAGCAAAAACTGAATTTACGTTGGAAAAAAAAGAACCTCCAGCTAAATGAGCTGCAACTCAGCTTTACAGGTGACGAAGATTTGCCAGCAGAGTTTCTAGAACTTGATAGTCCAGTACAGTTCTTTTTTAAAATATTTTCCAAGGAACTTTTTGTAGAAATAGCCAACCAAACTAACCTTTACATTGTACAAAAAGTTACTAACATGCCATTCCGGGTCACAGAGACGGATATCCAGCAATTTATTGGTCTGGTTTTCATTATGTCGTTAGAACATCTGCCAAGAGTAACGAAACATTGGGAGTGGTAGTTTAGGAACACCTCTAGTAAAAGACACAATGCCGGTAAATAAATTCGAAAAAATCAGACGATTTATTCACTTCAACGATAACTCGAAAATAGTTCCCCGCGATCACGCAGACCATGACCGCCTCTATAAAATCAGGCCAATTGTGTCGAAACTAAATGAAACTTGCCTCAATGTCCCGTTCGAGAAGTATCTCTGCATGGATGAACAGATTTGTTCCACGAAAGCTAGACACAACCTCAAGAGATATAGTTTTGTGGGTGAACTACCCAAGTCACAAATATCTAGATACGATAAGCCCCACGAGAGGTATGTGACCATTGATAGACCAAACGTGGTGGGAGAATACAACCGCCACATGGGCGGCGTCGATTTCATTGATAGTATAATGGGTAGATATAAAATAAAACTACGAAGCAAGAGATGGCAGGTTCGAATGTTTTACCATTTCCTGGACCTTGCCATGTCCAATGCCTGGTTACTGTACAAGAAGGTTTATAAGACCAAGAATACGAATGGACCACTACTGTCATCTGCTGACTTTCGTGAAGATATTGGTACGGTGCTATGTAAGATGGGGATAAAAGCACACGTACAACGCCGAAGCATTGAACCAGACATCCAGGCTAAAAAACGCAAGGGTCCAGCTCAATTCGTGCCTCCAGCAGCTGTGCTCCAAGACCAAGTAGGTCACTGGCCAGTATGGGTCGATAAACGTATCCGTTGCAAGCTCCCTAATTGCTCTGGCAAATCACAGACCATTTGTGAAAAGTGTGGAGTTGCATTGTGCAACAACAAACAAAACAATTGTTTTAAAACGTTCCATACTTCGTAGTGGAACACATTGCAGCAATGTACCCGTAATGGCACACTCCCTTTATTTTTATTTTGTGAGGTAAATATAAAAAAATGAAAATTAAACAATACGTGTTTTCTTATTTTCCAAATTCTACCCTAACAGCTACTTTTTATTAAATAATATTTTATTGAGTTATAAAGGGTTAATGGATAGCTTTGTCTGAGAATCGACCCTAGACCCACATTTTAGCAATATAATATGATCACTCGTTATTTAAGAAACTAATTTTTATTAATTGTATTAAAATTGAATTTTAGGTGACAGTGCGCTTATATTTTTTAAGCAGACTTAAAATGTCGGAGGTACTGTATGTTCTTTTATTGTATGTATGAATGTACGCGATATGTTCGTCAATTTTGAACGTATTTCAATGATCCTTGTTTTTATTAAATAATATATAATTAATCGGTTATCCCATATGAATTTGGAGAAAAAATTCTACCTAACTGGGAAAAATAGGGGATGGAGTGTTTAACGTAACTATTTGGACTACTTTATTTGTTCCTCGAGCTTGTCAAAGGGTCAAATAATTAACGTTATAATAAAAATGGCAAGACGTGGACCGTGAACTTAGAAGGTAGTAGGTTCAAATTCGCCATTCGACTACTGTCGTGAACCAATCCTAACACAAGCGTTGTATGCTTATCAGGAGTGGTTACAAGGAACATTAGTAATTTTTATAGTATTGCTAGTATTTAAAAAAGTTAAAACCAAATTAAAAATCAAAATCAAAGAACAAAAAGAATAAAATATCCACAACTACGTACATCGAACCAGAAGTTAATATCTATGTTATCAAGACGTTAAACGGGTGCTGTAAAGAACATCATGAACTAAAAGTAAGTAAAAATCAGTTAAAATTAAATGCGATTGAATTTTACTAGGGCATTAACATAACATAAGAGCCGTGGTAGCTCAGATGGTTAGCGTTCGCTGTAAATTTCACAGTAAGCGTGCAACCTGGGTTCAATCCCCAAAGTTAAGCGCTGATTTGCCACGTGCTTGGCGGTGAAGGAAAATATGGTGAGGAAACCTGCATGTCTCAGAAATAAGAAAATAATATTTCGGAGACATGTGAAGTTCGCCAACACGCATTGAGGCAGTGCGGCGGACACTTCCTTTCCTTAAAACCTTCTCAGAAATGAGAGGAAGCCTGTGCCCAGCAGTAGCATCTATATAAACTGTATAACTTTAATTTTAATTAACCTAAACCTAGCTGGAGTGCTGCAGCAAACATCAATAATACATGTGTGACTTGTTTTATATGACAAGTTACGAAACATAAATCGATGTGTTTTTCGTGCATGCGCACAGAAAGTTGTGGATAACTTATACAATGCGTAGTTTGTCCTTGAACAGCTTTAGCTACTTGAGTAATCGACCGTATCTTAATGATTTATACGTTCAAGTTCGAATTCCACTCGACGGTAATGTCCAGTAAGTCAATATATACCAAAAAATATTATTAAGGCCGTAACTGATTTTAACTTGGCTTTTTGTTTAACTTAGGTACTTTTGATTACCAGCAATATATAATATATGTTTTTAAAGATCTCAGTGATTCCGAAGTAAAAAGGCAATAAGTTCAAAAATAAAACAATACATAACTTCGAAACTAATCATTATTTTCGAGTGTTTTTTTTATAAATATGAACCCACTACTATAGATGTAAAAGGGATAAAAAACCCAAATCTTTCATATTTATGACAAAAATTACTAGGTATATAAAGTTCTTATAAAAGAAGCTTAGCAAAGAGCGACCACTCTAAAGCTCTAAACTATTGGAGCGTGCGGAGCTCCCATGGCGCAAGAAAACGATTCTTTGAAATCTATCTCCTCCGTAACCCGTAGGACAATTTACATAGTTTTTTCGGCAATACATATTTATAGCTCAACGCAGACAAGGTTTGTAAAACAATAAAAATCTGATTTTGATTTTTTTTTTCATTTACTATCTAATCAATTCGCTAATTTACATCTGCGCAATGTCACACCATTTGATTGAATCTTTTGTTGAAATAAAGATAGTTATGACTTTAGACTTTTAACCCGCTCCGTTTATTATGCTAGCAAAAGGTTTTACAAGTACCTTTACATTTGCATCGGCCCTAGTTTATCAGGCCTTTTAATTATTCACCATTGATAATATAACTTTGTTAGCCCTGGGGTAACTTAAAAGTGGAGACCCAGAAAAATTTTGGTAACGAAAATAATTCTTTTAAATAAATTTTAAGCGAATTGAGTTTTGAAAACTTTTTTGTCGAAAAATTATGAACAAATTTCGGAAAAATTCAGTTCTCGTGATAAATCACTTTCAATACTCTGTAGGGATAGCTTTGATAGGCGGTTCTGTGTCCGTCATTGTAAGTATTATAGTTCTAGTGAATTTTTTTATAATTTTTATTTTTGAAAATCAGCGCTCTCAAGTGCATTTTAACACCATTAAAACCATATGCATTCTGAACGTAATTTCAACATTTTGGTTTTCAAGTAATTGAAATAGAAGAGTTCTTTAGATTGATGTTTTTGATAATCGTTTTGGTATAAAACGATATAAGCGAATTGGTTCAATTACCAAAACTTGGTTCCAAATGGTCTTTGTATATTTTAATATCTTTGCTTGTGCTTTTTGTTTTGTCTTCACTATTTTTGCCTCTACAATTTATGGAGGCCTAGGGCTACACAGCCCTTGTTGCCCTAAATCCGACCTACGTTTACCGTGTAGTGGCGGTGTAAGAATACCACGATCCCTTATCATCCCGTGGGTGTTGTAACAGGAGACGGAAGGAAACAAAACAGAAGCGTCTTCTTGATAACAACTCCCAGTGCCAGCTCCTTCCATTTGATCGCATCCAGCGCAGAGCACTTTGAATCGTCGGCGACCGAGCTCTTTCCGATCGGCTTGACTCACTGGCACTGCGAAGAGATGTTGCATCTCTTTGCGTATTTTAACGCATCTACCACGGGGAGTGCTCTGAGGAATTGTTCAGACTAATTCCAGCAGCACAATTTCACCATCGCACATTGCGACAAAACTCCGATATCATCGTGCGATTTAAAAGAAGTTTTCTTCCTCGCACAACTTCCTTGTGGAATCGACTACCCCATCAGAGATTTTTGCGGACCGATACGACTTAGGGACCTTCAAGAAAAGAGCCTGCTTCTTTTTAAAAGGCCGGCAACGCATCTGCAGTTCCCCTGGTGTTGCAGTTGCTCATGGGCGGCGGTAATCACTTACCGTCAGGTGAGCCGTATGTTCGTTTGCCCCCTCTCCTATAAAAAAAACTACTAAAATAAAAAAAATAAAAAACTGTGGTCACCAATCCGCTAACCAAGCGTGGCAGCTATAGCAAATGCAGCAATGTGCAGCAGTGAACTTTAATATGCTGTAATGTTAACGGTAAGTACTTACATAATTTTAATGTGAAAGCTATGTTGTTAGTCTGACTTAATAAGTTTAATCATTAGTGTCGTATGCTTCTTATACAGGAAACAACTTTCTACCTTTGTGTTTGGAGGCAATAACCCTATAAAACAAAATTTATTTTTATGAAAATAAACCATGGAGATTTTTTTTCGTTGGTAACCCTGACCCATAGAATACTATAATACACAATAGAATGGCTATCAACCTTATTTTGTACGGGAGCACACATACAAGCAATTACTTAGTATTATTACTGCTACCAACACGTTTCGTTGTGTTGACAGACAGATTTTAATACGTATTTATTTGTAAATAGCGTGCAATTTGGAATTTTCTAAATAATTTGCATGCGAAATTTGGAAACGATTGTAACGTCAAAATACATGTCGTGTTGACATTTACACGTGTGAATTGACGTGTTAGTGACATTTTAGTGGCTATACGGGCTCCGCCCACTCCCCCGTCCTATTATGTATGTAATTATAGTATTCTACGCCCGGACCAAAATGGTCAGGGTTTCATTTTCTCTGATAAGTCTATCAAATTTGGTTTGCATATATTGAGATAAACTGAACGTTGTTATCTGTGGTTTGTGTGGTATTTTTATTTTATCACGTTTTTAATTTTATTGACACGCTTTCTTATCCAGTCGGTACAAATATTGCAATTGATTTTAAACTAACTTCTCGACGAGCTAGACCTAGAAACTTGTAAACTTTAAATATAGCTCAGAACTGGATGACAATGCAATTATAAACTCACTGTCTTGTCAGTCGGTTTGTTTGTTTCTTTGCCTGTTCCATATAAATTTAGCAATCGATTCTAAATCAAACTTACTTTGCGATGAGTTAGAGATTTTAAATTTTAAATATAGATCAGAACTAGAAACATGGTAAAATTGTTGCCATTTTAAATTATTTATATGATTTTTTTTTATATTTCAAATGTATAACTAATGCACTCATAGTTGCAATAAACAATTTTATTAGTGCAAGTGATAATCGAACCCGTTCGATTCTAGCGTGTAGCCACTGAACTACGATAACTGATTTAAGTACCACGTCCTCAGTGGTGGAGAACAAAAAAACAACGAAAAAATCGTGAGATCTATGAAGAAAAGTATTGCTACATTCATTAGTTATAATACAAGTGTTAAAATTAAAAATTTTGTACAACCGACTTCAATATAAATAAAATGAAAACATCATCAATGTAGTCGAAGTCAATCAAATACACATTAAGATAACTCAAAAACTACTGGTACCAACTACTGGCAAATTTATATAGGAATAAATGAGAAGCACCAGCTTTCAAATAAAAAAAGAATCATCAAAATTGGTTCACCTGGAAAAAAGTTAACACATAAAAAATACAGCCGAATTGAGACTCTCTTTAAAGTAGTTTAAAAAGTAAAGTTTTTTTATATGAATTTGCCGCCTGCAAACGAGTATGCGGCTCACCTGATGGTAAGTGACTACCGTCGCCCACGAAGAACTGCTACACCAGGGGATTTGCAAATGCGTTACCGGCTTTTTAAAAGAGAGTAAGCTCTTTTCTTGAAGGTCCATAAGTCGTATCGGTCCAGAAAAATTGCTGGTGGTGGCCGATTTCACAAAGAAGTGGTGCGAGGAAGAAAACTACTTGTAAATCGCACAGTAGTATACCGCCAAACATCCAGGTGGTAAGGACGGTATCTCCAATTCGGTCGTGATGTGCGATGGTGAAATTGAGAGGTTGGAATCCGAACAATTCCTCTGAGCACTCCCCGTGGTAAGTACTTATATAACTTAGATTATAAAGTTGAAGTTGCAGCCTATATACGTCCCGTCCTACTGCTGGGTACGGGCCTCCTCTTTTTTTTCACTTCTGAGAGTTTTAGGGCAAGGAAACATCCACCGCGCTGCCCCAATGTCTATTGGCGAACTTCACATGCCTTCGCAATATTTTTTTTCTTACTTCTTAAACATGCTAGTTCCTTTATGATGTTTTCCTTCACCACTGAGCACGTGGTAAATATAATTTATAATTTTATATTGAATAAAAATATTTTTTTGGTATTCTACTCATATTTGGCTGATGAAAAATAATTATATTTTATACTTTTCCTGTTACGGTTTCTGATTTACATAAATGTTCATCAAGTAGTAGCGGTTGGAGATATACGTCTCACTATTGGGCTTCGGCGTTTTCATTTCTGAGAGAGTTCATCAATGATCATCATTACCAACTATATTATATAAATTGATCCAATTCACTTCGTAAGACAGCTGCATTGCAGCAATACTTTAGCTTTTAAAATAATCTAGAACTAATATATTTTGCCTGGACGTCCCTAAAATAGCTGTGACTAACGCTCTTGAAAAAACCCAGCTTCAAAACTTCAATGATTCACGATTTAAATGTAATATTTGCGAATGTATCTTAAAAGTTGCCGAACCAAGATCTTCATCATCATCCATCATTACAGCTTGTGATCAAAGCAACCGCAGTTATAATCGTGAAAATCAGGAAGACGCTGCAGCGCATCATAATTTTAGTTTCTAATATTCCACAAGGCTCTAAAATCGAGCCAACATTTATAGGGGCAATAGCTCTTTGGATGACATCGTACAAAGAACCGTGACGGGAAAACCTACGAGCACATTTCTTACATGACATCCACGTCACGGGATGACATAGTTAGATTAGTATCTCTCTCACACCACCATTACACGGTAACATATCAAACCTAGATAATATCTAGATCAGGAGCTAGAAGTAAGATCAGGCAGTGCGATTGTGTAACTCTAATGGAAATCGTTTAACGGCGGGAATCATATAGAAAAATATAGAAATATGTATACATATAGTAAAGCTCACTGACCTTCAGTACGACGATAGAGTCGGCCATCTCGTTGGCCATCTCATCTAGCTTGGGCCCGATCATCTTGCAGGGCCCACACCAGGTGGCCATGAAGTCGATCACCACCAGCTTCTCGCCGGCCTCGGCCAACTTGTTCTTCAGATCCTCGGAGTCCTTGATGTGAATCGACATTCTGTCTGCGGAACAAGAGACAGCTTTACAGTGTTGTTTATCGCTTTTATAAAACCCGTAACACAAAGGACGTAACGTAGCCAAAGGAGAGTGCATCACGTTTACGCGTTGTATGCGACGCGGTAACAGTTTTGTGAGCAGTGTGTCATTTTCAGCTTGTGATACTCCTTAGCATAGTCAAGAGTCAAAAAAATTAATTATTTTAATAAAATATAAAAGCCGTTTCCATAGAAACCAGCTTTTTTCTTCTATACAGGATGTCTTTATAATATAAGCTCGTTCTGCGTACATCGGACGAAGAATTTATATTTAAAATTTGAAGGTAGCTTTCGTTAGCTATGACATCAAGGCGTCAAACACCTCAGTCACCCCTCGACTATAAGTGTTTTAAAGAGCACGACGGTGACCAAAAAAAAAAAACGACAAATCAAAGTGTTATAATACAATAAAAATGTAAATTGAACACAATGTGAAGCAAGGTTACATGTCGTACTTCACGTCTGGTTAAACCGTGCCAGTGTTACAAACTTTAGAAAAATGTACCTAGTTTTATATGTCTTAATTCTGAAGCATGGAAGGAGGATTATAATAAACATAAACTCTCACGGCTGTTACCCAGAGGTTAGGTAGAGACTACTTCCATCAGGCATCATTCTACGTGGTAGAACCACGCTGCAACTATATTATGGTTGTAGTAAGAATGGGTCGGCTCGACCGGGAAAGAACCACGCTCTCACAGAATACCAGCGTAAAATAGCAGTTTAATACTGATTTGTTTCGTATGGTGAGTGTAGAGAACCGGACACCCTTTTTACTGGAAACGAGGCATTCTATCTTAGTGCTCACGGGTGACAACGCGTCCGCATTTTGATTCGTAATCGAGGATAGATGTAGATGTCTATGGGTCACAGCAACCACTTAACATCAGATGGACTGTGTGCCCGTTTGTTACCCTATCCTATAAAAAACATCCATATACACATTTCAACAGATTTCAATATGGATATTACTGTTTGTCCAAGGGAATACACTAAACAATTTTAATACTTCGATACATTGAAACAGCTAAAATACTGTTATTTTAATATTAATAAATCATGTTATAATATAATATTATGTAGGTTTATTATAATCATATTATTTTATCAATATATTTCTCTGTAAATTGTATAGTAATAGAATTAACTCGCCCACGATGCGTATCATGGTAACTATAAATTAAGTTGTATGTCTTATTGTTTACCGTACTTACATAAAATAAAATATCCAAAGTAAGAAACATATTCTAGATCAATCTCCATTTATTTATTATTTACACTTAATTATAAAACCTATATTAAGGGTAATAAAGAGTGGACCCAACTTTAACCTTTAACCTTATGACATTCTCATCTCTTTACTACCTACACCTGTAAATTCATTCACAGACGAATTAGTCTTTAAATAATTATTTCCTCAGTAAGAAAATACACGAAACATAACAAGCACGTTAATAACAAGCGAAGAAATTGAAAATTTTGTGCAACCGAATTCATTATAAAAAAACCATTCATTTTTTAAAAACCGTTCAACCAATTTTGATAAAATTTTAATGGGAACACTTAGGAAGTATACCCTTTGAAACAAAAAAGAATTTTCCAAATCGGTTCTGGCGTCCCCGAGTAATAAAAATATTCTGAGGATTTGAGACCCACTCCTACTTTTTTGAAGTCGGTTGATAAAAGGAAAAACGTAAATAAAATTCGGTTACATAAACTGTTTCAATTTTTTAAATCCCGATTACTAAAGCTCAGTCCACACCTACTCCTGGAAGAGGATGTATTACGATGTCTTTTTCTGTGTATATTAATACAATTTGTTCTTACTCGACGAAAAGTAGATATTTTACGAATTTAGCTCAAGATTAAAAGTTATGCAGTTTTTAAATGTATGCCACGGTACGGTAGCTCAAAATAAGGTGTAAATACTTTTTCAAAGGAGTTGATAAAAATATTCAATTAATTATTTAATTAACCTAAAAACTCCAATAGCCATATAAAATCAGTACTTTTTTAAGCTTTTAAAACATTAACAAAACGCAATTATGTTTTCATTAAATTTAAAAATATTTTCCTACTTATAAATTCATAAGCACAACACAACAAAAAAAAATTAATAGTCCATTAAACAAAAATAAAAAAATACAGGCCGTTAAGGAAGTTTCCACTCACCTTTATTAAAAATAATAAATCAAATATATAACAATACAAAATCAGCCTTTAAAACACAGTCGAATTAGAAATCTTTGGTCTATATTGTTGTATTATATAGCTATACAACTTGACAATGCCTTCCGAGATACGGCAATATACTAAACTAATACTGACAAGGTCGGGGCGTTATGAAACTGCGGGCAAACACGGAATTACTCATTCGTGGTGACGTCACTTGTTTTTTTTTTTTAATAATAATGACCACTCCAAGGAAATAGACAAGAGGACGATAGAAAAATGATAGTCAAGTTTTCTGCTGTCTATACATACATAGCTACATAACATCTCGGTGACTGTGCTATTTCCTTATAAAGGCTATGACTAGGCGGTTGATGACGTCACACATACAAGCCGCAATATAATAATCAATATATCTTTTGGCTCGACGTGCGGATAATTCAGAAGTTGAGAGAAAAGATTCTGAGTCTCAGAACTTTTTCTTTTTTACTAGAAGTAAGTTTTTCGACATTTAAAAAATAAACAGTCTAGGTTGCGATTTAAGTTCGAATCGATATGTTCTAACTGTTGTTAGCTTTCATGTTCTTTTTTTAAATTGTGAAATACAAATGTTTATTCGAGAGCTTTAATCCTTATACATATACTCGATTTGGTCCAATAAAATAGCGACAGTATCTTTTTGGATTTTTTTATGGTTCGGTTCCCAGCTCGGGTATGTTTAAAAAAAAAATAATGTGGTTATTCTTATTTAAAAAATAAAGGATCGTTTTTTTTTTGAGTGAAATTTGATACCTTCAATATAAAATGTACTTTCCCTCCAAGTACTGTTCGTTTATTCCACCCAGTATTGTTTTTCGTTAAAACATTTACCAAATCAATCAAACATAATTATTGAATTACTTATACTGAGGTCAAGTAAAGATCTCAATTTCAATAAATACGGTATACAGTTATGAACAAGCGTAGTGTTCCTACATAATCAGACTTGAAGTCCGGAAACAGACACTGCATGTTTTACAGATATAAAATAGAAATTAATGGTAGGTAAGGTTTTAAGGCAAATTAACATAACGTGACTTAGCATTGGCACTGCTACAGTTAAGAAAAATGAGTTTGCGGTATGCGCCCTGCCATTAGGCTATATTATTTAATTAGATATAAATTAGATTACGCACTTAATCACTGAATCTTACAAGGTCCAATTGTGAATCCAAGCCATCCAGGGACCCTCATCTTTTAAATGGAGTAAAGATCTTTTTTTTTGTAGAACATTGCATTTATGTATTACTAATCATTAAGGGGAAATATAACCTCTAATGGCTTAGCAAGATCCTCCGTTATGCTGAAAATATTGCAGCATCAATTTTGAACTATTTAAACTATCGGCGACCTGAAGCCTGTTTCCTGTCGCCCGGTTCCAAGCTTCAGGACGCTGATAGTTCAGGTAATTTCTTTTTACAGTGAAAATAATGGTAATCTGAAAAAAATAAAAAACTTAAGCCCTTTATAGTTACTTCAGTTAGTATGCAAAGTTTCATGATCTAATTTAAAGTATTTTATGAATAACAGCGGTTTATTGTTCAGTTTGGAGGTAACTTTGGATTTTTTTTCTATCGAGAAAATTTTACGGAATCATGTTTTCGTCTAACATAGTACTTAAAATTAATCCTCAACTTTACCATATATTTATTTCAAAATTAATGCTGCAATATTTTCGGTATAACGGAGGATCTTGCTAAGCCATTTGAGGTTATATTTCCCCTTAAGTCAGCGCACGCGCATAAGGAAGTTCGGGAGCGCTTTTTCTTCCGACTTGCTTAACAAAAATCAATATTTAAAGCTAGCTGCAAGGTATAGCTTAATGCTAGATAATATACTATACTATTTCTCATGAATCATATACAAAAACAATTCTTCAAATCGGACTGGTAGTTTCGTGTTTTAACATATAAAAAAGCCCTTCCGCTTTAATATATTATAGTAACTTTTGGGATTTAATTATTAGATTACAGAGATCCGGACTTTATTTTACTAGCAACGGACATTTCATAGTCCTCAAGGTGTGATAACGCATCTGAATTTTCATTCTCAATCGAGAGGTAGTTTTTTTTTAATTGGAATCCCCCTCAACGAAAGATAGATATAGAATGAAACGCTGGAAGCGTTCGATAAAAACTAGGTCATATCAAATAGGTACATTACGTCACCTATACTATATCAGATGACAGTAGAAATCAATCATGTCTAAATTAGAAAGTATAACAAAATCAAAAGCTCTTAGATGCGATACTCTTCATAATGGGAGTCATGAATTTTGGATTGATAAAAATGTACCAGCACCTTGTTGCACATCTTATATTAATTGGTCATAATAATAACAAATTATTAAAATATAGTAACTTTTTGAAGAATATATTATTCAAGTCTTTCATATTTAATTTTTCATTTTTTTTATTTCATTTATCATTCCGTACGAATAGCTCCAGATTTGCCCTAGTTTGTAAGGCGCCTGATTGAGGTTTTACTACGCGGCTCTTATTTCGTAACTCTATCCGTATAATTAATCCATATATTTAATGTACTATTAAGTTTAAAATTTGGCTATTTTGAAATTTTGATGAAAATCTAAGTTGTTATGATTACATAGGAAGAGCGAGACTCTCCCAACACAAGTATACAAGTATCTTATGATTTACTTTCTTGGAGACCTCAGCAAACTAATTGTAAATGATTTACTGAAATAAAATATTTATATATATATATATATATATATATATATTATATATTATATATAT